TTAGCATAGTTTTTAAAGAGAAATATATGTCACATGTGAGCTTTAAATTGAAATAAATTCTAAACGGTTATTTATGCTCTGAAGAAGTGGCACACAAACAAAGTCACAAAACGTCAGAAAATCTAATTTTTCCAATCATTGAGATATTACAACTATATTCATTTATCAATAACAATCTACCAATGTTCAATTTATTCGAAATGATCAAGTCAAACCTTGGTAATGATACCTATAAATTCTGAACGGTTAAAATATCTAAATGTTTAAATGACATTTAATTTCGTTAGAGACTATTAAAAGAAACGTGTTTTTACATCTTATAAATGTGTGTAAACAATTTTCATAATGGTAATAAACTTAAAGAAGGGGGGTACTAAATTTCAATATTCTAAATAGCTACATTTGTACTGCATTTGAATCAAATTGAATTTCTCTTATTGTTTACTCATTTATTTATTTCATTAGTATTAAATGTTTAGTAAATGTGTAAGTGAAAGGTTTGTTGTAGATTTGACCATGATTGTCAATCTAATTAACTACTCAATGTGTACCGTTAGGAATTTATGTCTTATCATGCTACCGGTCACATAGTATGATTCTACTATCAGCTCGATAAACAATTTGGTAATTTTACTTGCATGAAATTTTACTTTCATTTGGCACTGAACACAATCGACTATTATTATTATTATTATTATTATTATTATCGCTTTTGTTACTGTGTTTAGATGTAACGTGTCCTCATTGAGAGCAACGTTTAAACGAGCTTGGTTTCGGCATTGTTCGGTTCTATTATATTCAGTCATATTAAATATTATCATCATTATCCCTATTACTATTCTTATTAATATTGGAATGGTCATCAACGCCAGTAACTGTTACCAAGGTCTCAAGCAACAAGACAAGGATTTTTTCTAATCTGAGAAATTTATTTATAGGTATTTTTAAAGCTTAAAAATACCTTACTGTTTGTTTTATGAATAAACCGAAACGAAATAGATTATATTGTTTTCGTTAACTTTGAAACAATAAATAATGTTCCGTACCAAATACATAGAGGATAGTAATTAACTGATGTTATATATATCTGAACAAATATAACTGTATTCGATTCCATTTGGCAAATTATACTCACAATCATAACGATCACTAGATATAAATCTTAATTCAATGCTAACAAACGATAAAACTTTATAATATCATGTTTAAACTTTTATATTTCCTTATTACACTATCATTTAAACGATAGTGGCTTTTTCAGTAATTACATAAATAAACATTATGAATCATCAAATATTTCATAAGAGGTTTGATTATCAATGTGAAAAGTAATCTAATTTCCCCAGTTGAATTGATGTATAATTATTGTATACAGCAAAAAATATTATGTTATGGAATGGATATAAGTGTGTCCGGTAAGAAAAAGAAAGATTCATTTCATTTGCATGTAATAAATTTCAGACATGATAAAAATAGAAGTCATTGATTAGTTTGGTTGTAAAACATCCAGTAGCTGAGATGAAGATTGAACTGATAAAATACTTATTGTATTAAACCAAACATCTCCAGATGTGAATAATTTTCAATTACCGGTTCTTGATCATTTTACAAGTTTGCATGATCATATATCATATATTGTGGAATGACTAATGTTACAATATTTAAAATATTGAATATCGACTTAATGGTTGGAAAGTTTCATACTTACTTACGCCTATTATCCCTCGTCGAGGAGCATAGACCACCCACCAGCATTCTCTTTTCAACCCTGTCCTGAGCAATCCTTTTCAGCTCTTTGCAGTTGCGGCTCAACTTTTTCATGTCTTCTTCCAATTCCCAATACAGTGTGTTCTTCGGCCCTCCTCTTTTCCGTTTCCCTTCAGGATTCTAGGTTAGCGCTTGCCTCGTCATGCAGTTTAGTGATTTCCGTAATGTATGTTCTATCCATTTCAATCGTCTTTTCCTAATTTCTTCTTCAACTGGAAGTTGATTTGTTCTCTACAACAGTAGGCTGTCGCTGATGGTATCCGGTCAATGGATATTGAGTGTCTTGCGTAGAAAACTGTTTGTAAATACTTGTACCTTCTTGATAATGGTTGTAGTAGTTCTCCAAGTTTCAGCTCCATACAGTAGAACTGTCTTGAGGTTCGTATTGAAGATTTTCACTTTGATATTGGTTGACAGTTGTTTTTAGTTCCGTATGTCCTTCAGTTGGAAAGTTTGATACACATCATTATTCTGTGAATAAAATGGGTCATAAGCGTACACTTCTGCTCCCCGATGTATAGATATGGTCAGTTTATAAGGTGAAATATACTCCACAATCTTAATAGTAGATCTTTCATTTAAATATCAGCTAGAATTATCAGAAATGGATAAGATCCTGGAATCATTTGTCTACATTTCATCCATTTTGGAACTCATCATCAAAAAAGTTACAGATTTGAGTCTCAATGTGATAATCAACACTGAGATACAGGTATGTAATATTAAGGAGTTCCATATAAGACAAAATGTGCTACCTAGATCTTATGGCTAGAAAAATGCCGAATATACAAACATATGGAGTGTTCGATTTGATTTATTGATAGATACTACTGTTCTCAATGAAACTAAATAGGTAATCAGTGTCCGATGTTTAGTCATCATTATACTTGATCATGTCATAAATGTTTTATCTTCTATTAGCATGAAATTCATTGGCTCGAATGTAACAAATATTGGAAATGTTCTATTTTATTTAACAAATGTAGAAATAATTTCCTGTTTCTTATTTTATTCACCAAGCAAAATCAACTATGCATTTTTATTGATATAACAACTATTTTTTTGTTGTTGATTGAATTAAAGTCAAAATGCCGTACATATTGAAATACATAAATGTTCTTTGTAATATTTTAACAGTTTACCAAAACCCCATTAGGGATGAAAGCTAGAAAAGTTATGTCTCTTTGCAAGCGCTTAGATTTTGAATCATCGAGTCTTTATCTAACATTTGCAAATCCAATTACCTCGATATGTTGCTGGGTGATTTCCATTGGTGTAACTTCTCATTACAACCCCAGGAATCACTTTTCTCTAGTGATTATATAATTCGTTCATTTATTTAGTAAGTTTACTTCCGTTGATTACAGTTTAAATGAGGTAATGATTATTAACAAATTGAACGCTTGTATGCATATATATTATATCATATTTACACTAGAGTTTTGATCAAAATTGTAAGTGATATAAATGATAAATTTGAAAGAATCTTAAGATCTATTCATACAGTTCATTGTTTATTGATTAACTGTATGAATATTCTAGAAAAGAAAGTTAGAAAATGAATAAGAACAGTTTTTACGAATGGAACATTGACATTATTATTCCAATAATCTCAATCACAAAAATTTGATTAACGGAATAAAATATGAAATTTATAGATAAACTTATTAAAAATTAGATCTTCATTATTATCATTAGCTTTATTCATTATTATATTTTTGGTACAATATAGAATTGTCAACACAAAGTATTTCAGCAAGTTTCAATTTCTTACTTCATGATCGATCCCGACGATAAGTATTGAGTAGTCACCAGCTGGAAAGTAGCAATCCAGGAATTGACATCTGAATAATGTACATTCTTTTCACTGCCTGGCCTCTAAATACCATGGTATGGTCGAGAGTGGGGAGAGTTAGCTCATGCTGTCAAAATGCTTTCATGTGGTATATGCGCATACAGTCACTGCCAGGTAAGTTCTACTCATTGCTTTCTCGTGGCGGGGGTGTTGCTTATGAGATTAAGAGAACGGAAAGCAAATGTCCGATTCTTTAACCGGGTTGGTGGACACGAAACGTTCACCCTGATTCCAAACCAACGATGTACATGAGCTTCAGGATCCATTAGGAACAAATGGCGTATGAACCAATTGTTGGTCACCGGCTACTATGAGACTGCATCTCCTGATGTTGTTCCACTGCCTTGTGGATCGGACATTTAGGTCAAAGGCTCCGGGTGTGGCTTCCTAAGAAAACCACAGGTTTCGGTCTGGGAACCCGGGTAAAATCATAGCCCACACACAAATCAAGTGACTTGTATGGTGCATATGTATTCGGTGCCTCACTGTACCAATATTGCTGTGTTCAAATAAATAAATAAATTTTCATTGCATATTGTCAGCAACCACAATGTATCGGACTGGGATTTTTTGCAGCTTGTACAGTGGAAGGTAGTAAACCTTTCATAAACGCACCTTAATAGGTTGTACAATTGATAAACATAATGATATGTTAAAACAAGTAAAAACAGATAACTTATTGAAATATCTAGTGGGCAGAAACAGGTAGCCCAGATGTTCAATGAAACCGCCATTTAGTCAATAATATTGTTAGAATCATTTGGTTAATTTAGAAAAAAAAGTAATGTCAATGTTAAACTATGATAAATTATATTCCACATCATTTCATAATTTTAAACTGTAGAATCTAACAAAATGTAGTTGAATTTCAGCTTCTTTTTAATAAAAAATGTATGAAATTTACTTCAATGAATAATGCTTTACAATCAATACAATTTCATTATCAATCCAAATATTAGCAACAATTCGATTCACAGTGCTCATGTATAGTACCTTCGATGTCTTTTATATTACAGAATATCATTTGAAAGTTGTTTCTATGCAGTATATCCGGTTTCTAGTGGAGGAAACAAACATGTTGTCTCTTTAAATTGAATTTCTTAAATTAATCTAATTTACAGATGACAATAAACATTTTAGTGTTTTCAATATGAAGTAATCTATCATTCTGAGTTTTATACGAATTATTTTTGATATGCAAATTAATATTCACTAAAGTGATTTGAGTATGGATGAATAAAAATGAAATGCAAAATTAAATTATATAAAGGTTTATAACCGGAAATATAATATTGATTTATTTTAAATATAAAAGATGCACAAATTGATGTGAAACTACCCCATATATATAATCAATATAAAAGGTGGATCTACTTACCGACCACTTCTGTTGATGTATTTCGATCAACTTGAATATCTTCATTCCATCTACAAAATTCAAAATAATTGGTGGAAATCGTAATAAATTCACTATACATAGAAATAGAACTATTGCCGATTAATTTTACCAGACGAATTAAATACTGCTACAGAATACAGTTCAATTTTAATATAGTCATATGTTCTTTCGAAAAGAAGGAGTTGGCAGAACACTTATAGGCCAGTTGAGTAGACAGTTCAAATTGTAGAACACTTTTTAAGGTGAAAATGGACAGTTGAAGTCTATATATATGGATTATGTGAATACTTTGTAACTCCTTACAATAAGCATACATGCGTCCATTCTGCCTTTTGTCGTGTATTACAATATCACAGTATATGATGAAAATAAACATAAATTGTCTATACTTTGAAGTTATTCAGGTATATTATCAACCTATATAAAAATAATGAACAAGATTTACATGCTTCCTTCAATTCATGCCAGCATCCTTCTGAAACCCGAACCAAGACTAAGCTAATTTTTCTGATAATGATAATTAATCTCTCCTTAACTATGTGTTCTCTGACTAGATTGGTATTTGATTTTAGTCACAAGTTCTAAACATCAACACTAAGATATGTGTACAACTAGATGATAAGTTTATGATAAAGTGAAATTTCAATCGTCAATTTCCCTCTTATCTATGATCCAAATTTATTTAGAACACCTATTGTTTATAAGTCTTAATTATTTGTTGAAAACGCTATCACTATTTATATATGAGTATGAAAAAATAGATCATTGGACTGATCTGATTAAAAAAAAAATACTTAAAGGGAACAATGATACTATTACTATTACTTTTTTTCACCGCCTTCACTTATTAACAACAGATTGCAATCACAAAAAGGAAAGAAAGGTACATGATGAATGTTTCTGTGTTTTAGAAAGAAAATAGTTTCTACTAGTAACCTTTGCATAGTTAACATTAGGGTTTATTCAGAAGTTATCTCGAGTGTACAAATAACATAGTGAAATATATATATATATATATATATATATATATATAATAGGAAAGGTAACACTAATCGATATTATCTGAGGCCCGTTTATACTTTTCATTTATTTTATTACTTAAAATAAAGGTCAAGTTGAGTATAGAATGAAATCAAACATGGATCATGTTGAGGGTGAAACTTTATAATTACACGTTGTTTATACACAAGTACACGCCTATGCGTTTATCAGATGATTGTAAATTTTATAATCAAGATTAACATAATTTTTATTTGTACAGTGAGATTTTAGTATCAATAAAAAGGAAGTAATTATGTATCAGTGCTGAAGTAATATTAAAAGAATTATATGTATTCATATAATGTTTTCGTCTGAAATAAAATGAACTGGTATCTAGTAGTAACTAGGGAAAGAGTTGCGGAGGTTGTTTAATCTTGTAGTTTGTATTATTGATCAACCTTAGACAATAACTAACACGGACAATAACATCCCTCTGCTTTTTGTTTTCCAATGGCTGTCTAAGATTGATTTACATTGCTGGCTCTAAATATATGTTGTCACGTTAACGATTAATTATTGTTTTATTGAAATCATGAACCGATCAATGTTAGACCAACATTGAAAACCTGGATGCACTTGAAGGCCGTTGCGTCCTAGTATGGGTCTTCTCAGCAGTGTGTAACCACAATCATTCTACATTGTCTTCGGCCGGTAACTTCCTTACACATGACTTGGATTAGCTTATATGGTCATGGTTTCTCACTGAAACTCCAGAGCTTTTCACTAGTGAGCAAATGATAACTGTCAGTCAGGGGTTGCACAATGGTCGTGAAATCTCGTAGATTGATTGAAGTTAGACAATGACACTGCTGAGTGCTAACTTGGTGGTCTAGAGATTAAGCGTTCGTACTGGAAACCGAAGGTCTTGGGTTTAAGTGATGCGTGTGGGGTTGTGGATGCTCACTGCCGGGGAGACCCATACTAGGACGAAACGGCAGTCCAAATCTACTAGGTTTACATTGGTATTCTAACACTGATCACTTCATGAGTTCAGTCAAATTCAACAATTTCTACAACTCCTTACTGAAAATTAGTTAGTAAGACAGAATATATATGTCATTCAATTTAACTGTTATTCTCTATCAAAAATAGGCTTTCAGATGTTGATAAGTTGTGTTTAGAGATTTTATTATTTAGTTACTAAACGAATTAGTCATTTAGAAATATTTCGGAAACGAAACTATCTTTTCAAAGAAAAACTATACAATTTAATATGCAAATTCACTTCGTATTGTTTACTTCAATGGGAAAATCCAAGTAAACAGTACGAAGTGGATTTAAACGTCACCCCATTGCACAAGTAAATAGCTATCAGGACTCAGTAGCTAAGTGAATAACGCCGATGGCATTAGAAGCTCACAGTACTGGGTTCGAGTCCCAGAGTGAACATCAACTCTGAGATGCAGGTACATCCAGCTGACGAGTCTCATATAAGATGAAACACGCGTCCTGGATTCCACTATTAGCCACTATTTATCTTTGCTTATAATGCTTGTAATTTAATATATAATTTACTTGGTATTCCATTTTTAATAGACTGGATGATTTGTTTTTATTGAGAGTTACAATTGTAAATAAGCAGTTTCTATTTAAATGTAGAAATTTTGACATCAATATTGGCAAGATAGTTTAAACCCTTTTTATTAGTGATATATACATCATATCCCTTGAATACACTTGTGATTATCTAAAATGAATAGCTTAGTACATAAAAAGTTGATATATAGTATGAAAGATACTGGATTTCAATTCTAATATGGACATCAACAGGTATACATAACTGATAAGTCTCATATAAGACAAAACCAATATCTTAAATTCCATTGTTTATCATGATTCATCAGTTCTACTCTGAATCATTGACAATTTTCCTCATTAACATTTTTTTAACAATAATAACAGTCACTAGGTATAAATTGAATATTCCTAATTCTAGATATTCCATTCCTTCAAATTACATACCGATTTAATCTTATTATTCATTTATTTATTTATACAAATATAATAACTTGTCATTCAAAATGAATGATTCTATATCATAATATATTTGTATCTAGTAGAAGATATGAAATGTTTTATTCAACTAGACTAAAAAAAATATATCAGATTTATATTATTTGACTGTTTTAAATAATGAATGTTACTTCTTAAATTTGGCGCTTATAAAAATTCAAACTATTTGAATGATTTTACGCTTAAAGGTAACTATAAATGAAATTAATATTAGACGCCTGTAATGATTGATTTATGTATTTAGTTAGTAAGTATAAGTTCTTATGTCATAGTAGATAGATGATGATTTATATGATCAATTAGTTGATTATATATATTCTGTGAAATAATATTTACTACTGATTTAATTATATGGGAATAATATGTTTTTTAATATTTTAGATTAATTTTAACTGACAAACTAACATATATACATAGTGATTACTGTAATAAGGAGGAGATTTAGAGAAGTTTAGATGATCGGCATTATTTTTTTTTATAGATTATTGATGTTTATATTTTTATTGCAAAGTTATTCGATAATTGGATTATTGTATTTCTATAATCTGTAATCTATTGAAAACATTTTGTTGTGATTATCAAGTTTTGTGTGTTGTACAGTTCATTATTTCATAAATATTCTTAATCAGTTTTATATATAAACTGATAATCGTTTGAGTTACAAAGACTGGGTGTTTGAAATATAGGTACATAGAAACTTATCTGCTGTGTTCTCTCTTATTGGACTTGATACTAGATAGAAGAAGAGTATATGTTCTGAACCCTTAGGAGCTATGATTATCTAGGCGTCATCTGGTGCTTTAATCGTGCAGGTTAGAGGGTATAATTGGTCAATAAGTGGGACATTATTCGATGGAGAAATAATGACGGGAATCTTATTGATGAGTCTTAACAAATGATATCGATTAACGTCTTATTTCTCAAACAGACCATGTCTATTTTCATTTAGTACATTATCTACACATCTACTTTGATAAAATGATAGTAATAAGTTTCATTGCTGAATATTATAAAACTCAAGCAGTGACATCTCATTGGTTGATAGAGTTTTTTCTGATATTCCGTTTTCTTGTCTGAATGAAGCGTTATTATTATGATGTTCATGCATTTCTAGTATAATATGAGTAGTCATTAATATCATATATCGCATAGTTTTCATGTAAAGTGAAACGCTATGAAATTAGTACAGCCAGGAGAAATTCGCGGTCGAAAATATTAACTGTTACAGAAACCGCCTTAGTAAATATATATGGAATATTTTCAAATTTTGTCGTAAATTAATTTCTATAATTAGGTAATCAATATTGAGTAAAACATTTATGATAGCTTTCGTATTCTAACCATGATCACTAAAATGTCTATCCCTCACAACGTATATCGAAATTTATCAATTTTTCTGGTTGGTTGTCAGTGATATTCATGGTGTACGTTTCATTCTCTCCAGGGTTGGTCAGGTTAATGCGCATGAGCCTTAATGTTGATGTTCAGACTAAAAATGTAGGGTAGTATCTATTTCTTAAAATACCAGCGCATTATACATTAGTTCCCTGAGTCGAGATATTCATTGAAAATAATGACCGAGTTCGTTTCTGAAAATAAAACATTGACAAGTCAATTCATATGTTCATTATCATAAAGCTAGACAAAATGGTTTGGTTGTTTCATTATGCTACTATTACTGTTTTTAAAGTTTTGAAAATCAAGCCTTATCTATATTTTGTAAGGTTATATTCAAAACATGCTAGTGATAATTGCAACTAATTGAGATTATTTTTGGGTATGATTAATAATCGGAAACTACTGAGAAGTAGCGTACATCCGCGACCCTGATGAAGCCTGACCCTAGGATCCTCAGATCTTGTACAAAGTACTTTATCGGCATACAATGATATGTGTATCAAAGACTTGATATTTTGTAATAACTACACTTTATCACAAATCGATTAAACCTAAAAATGTATATCGTTTAACCGAAACTTGGTAGTTTATTGATACCTTCCATCAAACCTGTAAGTCCTCAGTCTGACCCCTGGTAAGGTGATAACTGAACATTTCAGAAAAGTCCTGTCTTGGGATAACATCTGTTTTTGTTTTACTTATTTTTTAATGGTACCAAAATCAGTATCACTTTGCTCTGAATATCACCTACAACTTGATCTTGACTTCATAAAACTGTTATTTCAAAAATCTGCTTCAAAAAACTGATTTAAAAACATTTTAGCTATTTTAAGATAACTTATAAGTATATGTATTACGAAATTAAGTCAAAATCCATTACTTTGACTTACGTTATTGGTAAAATTAGTTCACCACCACTATGGATCACACGGCCAACAGTACACTGTATATAACCGAGAAGAACCGAATTCTAAAATACAGAGTAGCAAGAAAAAATGAGTAGCAACTATGATAAACAAATAATTTACTGGTAGATGTATATTCGACTGAGTTTACTACATTTCTTTCAAGTGATTTTCTGACATTATGGTTAACTAAATGATTTTCACATTATTTCAAGTGGATGTTAACATGAACTGATGTCACTGCTAGACAACTATGCATCGTATGCTCAAATTGTAGAAAAATGTATATCCGAAAAGTTTTGAGTCCTTATTACATTTAGCTTTCCTGATAAAATATATTTATTGTTTACTATTGATTTTTAAAGTTACCCTAATATTTCTGACTAGTATTTTTCAAAATAATGTTTTCATTTCGAAAATTACGCTTAACAATATGTAAAAAATACTTTGATGAGTAGATAGACCAAATGGATACTATACTAATAATGAATAAAGAGGACTAGACTAAATTATTAGGCTTCCTAATACCAAAGAATCAACATTTGGAGTAGTGTATGACTTTTTTTCTTTAAACAAGGCATCTAAATGTTAATTGCTTTATGAGTGTTGATAGAATTAGGTTTGATATGAATTGGTTGTCATAGGTGGATTATCTCCTCTACTTTGGGAAAACGTATCATCTTCTTTCATATTATAAACTCCGCCTCTAGCTCTTCTAGGGTTACTGCTGGTCCATGCCCAGAATGAAGGAGGGTTAAGGATGATTCAGCAATCCCAACCCGTAGAAAACAACCTTGCTAAAAAACGCTAACCAAAAAATAATTTAAAGTATTTAAACTCTGCCCTGGGAATTAAATAATCTTCATTCAGAAGAATTAGGACGCCTCATAGTGAATTCCGAGATTATTTGGAAGTCACGAGGCGGATGTTTCTTCTAAAACACAGTGCAACAATCGATATAGGCAAATAGAATATCCGGACAATGTGGAAGACCAGGAGGGCTAATCAGATAGCTGTGAAAAGCACTCATTAAAATCAGGAAGGAGGGGATCACAATGAATGTTACCCACCACTGATAGCAATAAAGACGAAAAAGGTCAGTTCTAAGAGAGAAGTGCCAGGAAAGAATCTGTCCATCCTGAGTGGAGATCTTAACGCCGAAATCGAAATGGACAACAACGGTTGTGTAGATACAATGGGACGACATGGGCTGGGATAGAGAAGCGAAAATTAGGAAAGATTTTCAAATCTATGTACATTCAACAAAGTGGTAATAGGCGAAACAATATTCTCACAAAAACGTATACACAATGCTATATGGATCTCACCGGATTACACCATGGAGAACCAGATCGATCATATTTGCATCAACAGAAATTTCAGAAGGACAATAGGAGACATGAGAACCAGGAGAGGAGCTGACATAGCTTTGCACGCGACCTGGTAGTTGCCAGAATGAAATTGAAGCTAAAGAAACGCTGGACAACTGGACAAACAGTGTTACGAACGTTCAATATGGCCTTCCTTCGACATACCGACAAGCTCTACGAATTCAAGACAACTCTCAACAACTGGTTCCAACCCTTTCAGGATCTATTCAAAGATGAAGGAACTAACTTGGGGGACAATTGGAAAAGGACTGAAGAAGCATTCGCTTCAATGTGTCAATAGGTTCTGGGCCGAAAGAAGCATCATCACAAGGAATAGATCCCTATGGAAACCCTGAAAAAGATTCAAGAAAGGAAGAACAAGAAAACAGCAGCCGAACTGGAACAGAAGATGCCAGTGCACAAGTTGAATACATAGAAGCAAACAAACAAGTGAAAACGAGCACTAGAGTTGACAAGCAAAAATATGTGGAAGACCTGGAAACGATATCGAAAAACGCTGCAACAGAAAAAAATATCAAACAACTCTATGACACAACGAAGAAACTGGTTGTGAAATATAGTAAACCAGAGAGACTGGTCAGTGACAAAGAAGATAAGCCAAACACTGAGATTCATTAACAGAGGAATGGATGGGTAGAACATTCTGAAGAACTCCTGAATAAGCTAGCTCCATTGAATCCACCAGATATCGAAGCACCACACACAGACTGTTCTATGGCTATCACTCCACCAACGATCGAAGAAATTGAGATGGTCATCAGACAAATCAGTAGTGGGAAAGCAGTATTACCCGACAATATACCACGAACAAATGTAGATGAAGATAACTAGTGTAGCGGCAGCCTCTGCATCAGTAAGCCTCAACATACACACGGGAGCCAATATCCTCAAATACAATAGGGAGAACACCAACTTAATCTCACTTGATGGCCAAACTCTGAAGATGTGAAAATTTTCACATATCTGGGCAGCATCCTCGATAAGCATGGAGGATCAGATGGAGACGTAAAGACCAGGATTGGCGAAGTAACAACAGCATTCCCATAATTGAAGAACATTTTAAACTCAAAACGACTGTCAGCCAACATCAAAGTCAGAATCTTCAATACGAATGTGAAGACAGTTTTATTGTACGGAACTGAAACTTGGGAAATTGCTACAATCAGCATAAAAAATACAAGTATTTATAAACAATTATCTATGCATGATACTCCAGATCCGTTGGTTGGATAGCACCCGAAACAACCTACTGTGGCAGAAAACAAAATAACTTTCAGCTGAACACAAAATTAGGAAAAGACGCCTGAAATAGATAAGACAAACATTTCGTAAATAGCCAAACCCCATCAGGAAACCAATCCCACCTTGGAATCATCAAGTCAAAAATGAAACGAAGCCCACTAAAAAACACGCTGAACCAGGAATTGGAAACAGACATTAAAAGAACGAATAACGCTAAAAAAATCTGCAAATAGGAACCCAGGACAGAATAGGTTGAGGAATCCTGGTGGGTTCCTCCACGTGGGGTAACAGGCGTAAGTAAGTGTATGTGAAAAACCCCGTATCATACAGATATGCGACATAGATATGTGCCAATTACCATGAATACTAGATCTCATGTTTTCTGCAAGAAGCTTTCAGTCAGACAAAAATAAATTAACATTTTCAATATCGCGAAGAGTTTCAAATTAAATAACTTTGAAAACCCTTGAAAAACTGTTAGCATTGAACAGCTATTTCGTTTTAGAATGAAACTTCTTTATTGTGCACATCAATAATCTCACTATCGTGGATCGAACTAAGGAACATCGATCTTGCTCGTCAACACTTAAAGTCTAGATCATTGATCATTTTTAGTCTTATCACTGTTTTACAATTTTTTTCCAAATACTATTCGAAGCTGGGTGACAGTGGATCAAATCCGTCAGGGAGAATCGATTCCCTCAAAATTACAAGTACATCTTGCTGATGAGTGCCAAGTAGTACGAAACCTAAGTCCATGGCTTCCTGTTAACTGCCTCCAACCACAATCTCAATGTCAAATTACCTAGACTAGTGGTCAGATTGCAACTTAGTCGATAATATTCGATCTGCACTAAAAAGGATCTGACATATAGGACATTGATCACCACTCGGTGATCAATCAATTATAAACTAATTGTAATCATTTAACTTAAAATCAGATGCATCAATTGGTATTTTGTACATAATTTCTTTCTCCCCCCCCCAAAAAAATAATCTCAATCGAAAATACACACATAATTATTTCCAAAAAAAACGATTCATATTATGACAATTTTTCTTTTCTTTTCTCTTTTTTTTCATAACAACTATAAATTGTTTCCATTTTTAGTCATTAAAAAAAAACACACAAAAAAAAAACACTTTTTTTGTTAAAAACTACCAAGTTAATTTATGACCTGAACTAAAAGAAGGGAAAAAAATTTGATATTTGGTGAAATAAATTTCCGTTCATTTAAATAATACATTATTAATTTTATTTCACCTAATACGTAGTTCCAAGAATACTTTACAGGAATAATAAGACATAAAACACACACACACACAAGCACATCTATACATATATATATAAGTCATATTCCTTGATACTTAGGAACAATAATGAAAACATCAACAAATCATGTCATAGAGAAGTAAAGAAAACAATTCTGTAAATGATTATTCTTTTTTTTGTTGTTTTGTTTTAAGTTTTAACTGACATTTCACTGCAAGCACAAAATCAAATTTATGTGTTTCTCTTTTGTAAACAAAATGTTTATGTTTATTTTACAAATGAAAAGAAAATCAATTTTTTTTATATATACTCAATAAATAATTTATTTATTTTGATATTAATGATGATGATGACGATGAGGAGGAGGAGGAGGAGGAGAGGGAGGATGAGGATGATGAATTAGAGGGGTACCAAACAAAATATCATAAATTTCTTATTTTGAAAATGTTGATGAATATATAAAAAAATTTTTTTGTTTTGTTATCGACTATTATTAAGTAGATCTATTTATATTACACATACAGATATGAATGATGGTTAACAAAAAAGACTAGTAAAAGTTTATTAGATATTTAAAGGTATTTTCATTCATCTTGAATAAGTTAATGGGAGTTTGCCTCCTATAGGAAACATTAGTTTGTTCAAAATTAGGGATACTCTTAGATGATTTAGATTTTTTCTTAGAAATTATTACACTTTACGAAAATTTATAATGTAACTGCTTTAATTTTATGTTTAATTACAGGATAATAACGTTGAATTGATTATTAATGTTGATAAAGTTGTAAAGAGGAAATGATGAGAAGATAATTAATAATGTGATAGTTGACATTATAAACTGAACTTAGTTTGAAAACCTCCGAAAACCAGGAATTATTGGATAGTTGTTTAGTGGTAGTATGGAACTTCTCAGAAATACATATTCCTCATCATATGTGCCCAATAGGAATTTAGTTTGAATGGTGATTCCCAGAGTTAAAATGTAAAGTCGTGAACAGTGGGGTTCAATCGTACCAAATATGTGCAAGTTATGAATCAATGACATAAAAAGATGATTGCATGATATCACGAATTGGTTGTCGAATCAATGTTTCAAAGGTCGAAAGCACCCACATTGAAAGCTTTAGGTCCTGAGTTACATCCCCCATGAGATCGTAAA